GCGTGGTGGACTATGACCTGATCCCCCTCGTATTGAAGAGAAGCTCATGCTCAGCAGTCGGACGTTAAAAAAAGAGCTGAATACATGCTTAATAAAAATAACACTATTTTATTTAGATTCTTCAAGAGAAATTTATTTAGATTTAAAAAGAAAACTTCTCAATTTGGGTGTATGGTGTTTTCAGCAAATGGTTACCATAACACGATATAAACGATTCTTAATGCAACAGGCACATCTACCTTATATATTGTAAAAGTCCAATATATTTCATGGAAAATTATACCCATATTTGCAGAATAGTTAGTATTTGTAGTGATTCTGAAAACCAATAAGGACAATATCTTTCTTTCACTCTGATAAATTAAGTGTGTCTTTAGAAAATTGATAACAATATCGATGTGTTCATAATAAAATTTATTTTTGAAAGCACTATCGGTAAAAGCATATTAAAAGTATTTCTTATAATAGGTTTAATTGCTATGTATTTTCCAACACCATATCAAATTATAGTTCAAGATAATTTTATCAAAAGGTCTACAAAATCAAACTTGTACCATCTCAAATTTCATAATTTAAATATTTATGCCATGGCATGTCTTGTAAAGCGGTATATATTGATAGCTACACGCGGCCTACACTGACTGGTACTATCGGTCACATTTTCTTTTATTTATTTTCTTAAATCTATTTAAGGCGTTTTTTCTGGTACAGTAATTTATATAATTTCATTCTGTTTTATATATTTTTATAATTTCAACTATGTTTTAAATAAAATGTACAAAAATTGATGAAAAATACCATTTTTGTATCTATTATTTATAATCAAATCAGGAAAAGTAGATTCGACATAATTCTACAATCGCTATCGCTATAGATATATATATATATATATATATATATATATATATATATATGTTTTTGTTAATTTACAATTTTCGGTATCTATTATAAATATAGAACGTGTCTATGGGGACTGAACAGGTATAGAATATGGAAGAACAAATAAAATCTTACATTATTACTAATATTAGACACGTTTGGTTCAGTTTGTAATGATCCTACTTGCTAAGCCAACGGTCGCGGGTTGGAGTCCTGCTGGGAGCATAAATTTGTATGAAGAGCACGAATGTTTGTAGGTACTCCAGTCATGGATATTTATATTTATAATATGTATGTATCTAAAGTTATATATGTGTAGTGTATCAACTATCTGGTATCCATAACACAAACCCCGTAGCTTACCATGGAACTAGATGGTGCTGTGTTTTAATGTCCCAAGATATTTATATTAAATTTATATTTATTCGAAGAAGTACTAAACTCTTTTACTATTGAAAGAATAGACCATGAATACATAGACTATTTTAAGTCTAAGTAATACGAGAGCAGAGTCACAGGCGGAAATTAGTTTTTTTTTCGTACTGCCTTATATTATTAACATATTATAAATGTATATAAAAATACTCAAAGCATCAACATAGAAAAAAAATTCATGCTTGTTTTTATATTTTCTTTTAAACCCCTAATAATTAAATTAAACCTATGTATATATAATAAATTTTCTGTGTGTCTGTACGTTTAATAGCCGATATTAGAAAGCGACGTGGCGCCTGTGGACGCTGAACTTAATTATACCTTCTAGCCAACAATAGTGTTATTTATATATGAAAGTTGCGAACGTTCTCGTTTACAACAAATTTGTCTATCAAATAATATGTATATAACGGTTTATATAAATCTATATTATTATAATATTGTTATATACAATAAAATTATGGTGCTGTCAGATTATAATTGTAGTTGCCATTCTCTAAGTTTTGACTTTTGGTCATATATTTTAAGAACGAGATTTTTTGGAATTTTTGATTTGATTTTTGACGATGTATCAAATAACAATACATAAACATATAATTATTGATAAAAGAATGATATAGAAGAAATATACGAAACTTCGTTATTTTCTTTTCATTATTAATACTAGACTAGCGTTTGCTTCGACCACGCTTTAATTATAATGAGTGCATACTTCAAAAGCCTTTTAAAATCTATACATATAATAAAATTGTAAAACTAAGCCGAATCTGTACATTAAATATTTTTTGAAAAATCTTATTGAAATAGGCATTTTTATCGATACAGAGGCCGAATCTATAGTTTTTAGATTTTTTTGTCTGTCTGTCAGTCCGTCTGTCTGTCTGTTACCGCATCACGGAAAAACCACTGGAGGGATTTTGATGAATTTTGGTATGATGATAGCTGGTTATCCGGGTCAACATATAGGATACATTTTACCGCAGAAAAATTTCTCATTTTTGAGAAAAAATACAAAAACTGCAACGTAAGAGTATACTAATATGTAAAAACCTAAGATTTTTTTTGTCATCTGAACGCGGGCGGAGCCGAGGGCAATGCTAGTATACAATATAATAATAATTCACAAGGCTCCCCTCAAAGTGAGGTGAAGTAGGTCATAATCCACCGTGCTGCCCAAATGTGGATTAGAGGGTAATATATACTAATACTAGCGACTCACCCTCATTTCGCTCAGGTTTATCCCTAATGAAAGACAAAAAGAATTCTATCCCACGGGAACCCTACATTTGTCTGGAATTATAAGTAATATATGTGCTTTTCCAGGCTATAATCTATCTCTGTACCAAATTTCGTCCAGATCAGTTCAGCCGTTCTGGTGTCATTGAGTAACAAACATCCATCTGAACTTTCGCATTTATAATATTAATGGGATTTTACAAACTTTTGGATAAAAGTAATATGACTTTCTAAGACATAGCCTACGTCCATATAAAAAAAACTTTATTAAAAAATATATTTTTGTTCGTATTCTTCAGCTATATACGAAAAACAATAGATACACGTTAAAAAAAATATTTAGGAAAGGAAAACCTTTTAGATATTAAAAATAAACAGACCGCGATAGATGTTTTGACGCTGAACTAACCCTGTCTGTCTGTCAAGTCGATATGAAATGATGTGTTTACTTCACCAAATAAAATGGAACAGCTCTAACACGTAACATTGCCTATGAAGATAAAAAAATTACGTAATAACAGTGAAAATTTTTACTTGTAAAATGTTGTAATGGTATCTATACAGCACTCGAGAACAATTTGATTGATTTTGCTAATTTCTTATTTAAAATACTCGCAATAATTTGAATAAGATTTTTAAAAGGGAAAAAATGGGAAATGTTGCTCGGAAAATTGGGGTAAAATTGAAAGAAGAATTTTATTATATAGGATTTTTTACAATTCCAACATTACAAACTTTATTGGGACGAGATGTCTGTCGGAATAGCTAGAAAATAATATTATATAAGGTACGAGTATATCACGCGTAAATTCCGATTTTATATTAAAATTACTATACGTTATGAACCATTTAGAAAAATTATCAAGTTTTTATTGTAATCTATACATAATATAATTCGAACTGGGTCGAATCTGTATATTAAATACTAACGACTCATCGTCGCTTCGCTCGGGTTCTTCACTAGGTTGATTCCCCATGCATATTTTCATCCCCATTTTCAACCCCTTAAGGGGTGATTTCCGTATAAAAAGTATCCTATGTCCTTCCCAGGGCCCCAAACTATCTTCATGCCAAATTTCATCTAAATCGGTTCATTAGATCCAGAGATTACCCCCTAAAACGCCACAAACTCACAATTCACAAACTTTACCTCCTTTTAATATTAGTATATTTTTTTTGTAAAATCTTATTAAAATAGTCATTATTATCGACGCATAGGCCGAATCTATAGTTATTAGAATTTTTGTCTGTTTGTCTGTCTGTCTGTCTGAGAACGCGTCACGTGAAAACTACTGAACGGATTTTGATGACATTTGGTATGATCATAGCTGGTTATCCGGGTCAACATATAGAATACTTTTTACTGCGGGAAAATATCTCATCTCTGATAAATATATACTAACCGTTAAAACGTACCTAGGGATGATTCGAGCGGAGCCTGAGTGAGTCGCTAGTATTTTATAAAAGAAGTGTATGTACTTAATATATTGTCCAATACAAACCCAAACAAACAGAATCAGCTATATACTATCGTATTGTCACATCAGATCTCCTCTAGATATGATAAGTACAGGTCGTTGACCCGCTCTACATTCACAGATGTTGCCACGCGTCTAAAACGGGCACTGAATATCGTTCACATTTCATTTTTACTTACTTTTGTACGTGTTAAAGACATACATATATGAAAAAAAATTCTTCTCAAACTAATAATATAAATGAGAAAATTCGTATGTTTGTTTGTTGGTCTTCCACGCTGAAATGGCTGGGAAATTTTTTTTAGTACATACAAATAGATAAATATAGTACAGGATTTGCATATTGTATAGGAACTATATGATTGTTATTGGCATAATGTGTAGAGATAGCGGATTCGATGGTACAGATTCGGCTTAGTTTCAATTTTATTATATGTATATAGAAATTGTATGTTTTATAATTTATTTGATTTTCAATTGATTGAGTATTTAGTAAAAATATTTTAAAAACTACAAAGACATAGTCCAATACAGTACTACGCTCTATATATTATTAAAGATTCATGTTTGGCAAAGATCCGTATCTGTTTATTTTATTTTTGATTAAAAAACTTATTGAAATTATGAAAAATGTTAAAAATTAATTCTAACGAATATTGTAAGGTACTTTGGTGCCATTTTTGTATTTTTGAGATCATTTTGTTATTTGTGGGCATGCACTATCTGTAACAATTATATAATGCCTTTGAGACGTCTATAACCTTAGTCACTTCCGTGACCATGATTGCTGTAAAGCATTCGAAACATCGGGAACCAAAAATTAAAATAAGATATTTACATATTATTTAAAATGTCAAATATTCGCGTAAATCTAAGAAAGTATTATAAAAATATCTAACTAAAGAAAAATTCATCCTATTTCTTCATGTATCATATTACGTCACTAACGTAGAAAATAGCAGGAGATGAGAGATGGAAGAAGGGAGAAAGAGAAGTGAAAGAGAGAGAGACAGTGGTGATGGTGGTGATGATCATGGTGGTGGTGGTGATGGTAAATATTTACGTTATGCATATAGGCTGGTGGTCCAGAACACGTCGGCGTATCAACGATAGTAACGAAGTATAAAACATGTAAACGCAATGAGGCGTGTTGCGACGTGATCAACTTCATAGAACATCGGTAAATGGTACAAAAACCCTACGGCCCTATGATCGCTATACATTTTATAAGCGATAGCGGATTTTTAAATTATATTTATCATTATATTATAGTCCACAGTTCTGAGCAAATACTTTTGTTTATTTTTACTAGTGACTTATAACCTCGTTTCATTGAGCCGCCTTTTGCGTTTCTACAGACATCGCTATTTTTGCGAAAAAAATTGTAAGTTCCAAAAATAACCTATATATTACTCTAAGTCATATCTAGTCTATATATCTGTGTACTAAATATCATCCAAATCTGTCCAGTCCTTTCAGCGTCAAGGAGCAAAAAGTGTGATTCTCTTGTTCTCTCTACTATTCTCTTATTCCCATAGGTTGACCAGGAGTCCTTCAGAAACATTTCGTAGGAGATAAATCCAACTTCACCCAACTCTTACCTTAAAAAACTAATTCATCTTGTCTTCACTATACAATCTGCTTATATTTTAATAGAGAGAGAGTCCCCTAAAAAAGGAGAGTTTTCTATGTAATCGCTTTCTCTTTTACTCTACACCACAGTGAACGGTGAACTTCATTGCGCATTAAATGGTACAAAAAGCCTTTCAAAACGACATCATAGAGCCATTAGCGAACGTGTATCTGTAATATGGTGGCAAGCTCTACCTCGTCCTTACAAGTGAACAAATGCGTACGAAAATAATTGTTTTTGTTCAGTCGATAAGATATGCTAAAGAGGGCTTAGGGTACGAAAAAATAACGACTTTCTAAAAATATATCAAGTATAGCGTAGATGTATGTTAATAGAAATACGAAATAAATAAATTCTGAGAAAAAAAATAAGAACTTTAGATGCTTGAACAAACACAAGCCAGTTATTTTGTCGTTGACAGAAGTTATGGTATATTTGGTCAATAGCAGAACCCACGGCTTTACCCGCGTTTAATCTACAAAAAAAACTCTTTGACTAATGTTATATACTACTCACCCTCGCTTCGCTTGGGTTCATCCCTATGTATTTATATAATATATAGTTTTTACAATAATGTATGGAAGTCTGTCCGATTTGTTGACATTTATGAGTACACCTCCGCTACCTTGCGTAGTATCATGATATAGCCTATAGCCTTCCTCAATAAATAGGCTATCTTATGCAAAAAGATTTTTTTAAATCGAATTAGTATTTCTTGTGATAAGCGCGTTTAAACAAACAAACTCCGAATCTTTATAATATTATTATAGATTTTGTACTTTTCCGTTTTCTTGTAGCGAACTTTATACCTAAGCCCACTAGTACAGCACTCTATCTAGTACAGCACGCATCTACTGATCATTTATAGCTAGTAGATAATAATTCTAATAATATACTTAATAGAAAACCTAACATGAACATTCATGAAGGCATAATACATTTTATTTATTATTTATTTATCCAGGAAACTGTGTTTTTAGATATGTCATTTATTATAACAGGAAATGGACCTTTTAACAGGTGACATTATCAGGTTATATGTCTGTCCGTCCCTCTCGTAAATTTTATAATCCTGTATAAATCGGAAACTCGGAAAGATATATGTGTAATTATAAAAACCATGAATCAAAGCGCCCTTCTTTCGCGTTGATTAAAAATATTATATAAAGGTAGCGCAGACGTTAGACAAAAGCAGATATTTGTCTTATAGAGATAAGTTATCGCTGGCCCATATTGTTTCTGAATATTTTTTCGATAGCCTCGTTGGTCTAGTAGATAGCATGTACGGCTACCGTCTACAGATCTAAAGGTCCTGGATTAGAGTGCCAGGTCGAGCTATTGGATGTTTCTGTCAAAACAAAAAAAAATAATAGTAGTAGCTCGAAGTTGGGAAATTGGTGGTTTCATACCCATGTGCCTTGGAGAGTAGGTGGCAAATTGTCATCCCATCTGACTTGAAGCAAAGAGTGAAGGTTGTGTTTAAGCGTATGTATGTACTCGTATATGCCCTATAATATATATGTCCATGATTAGTTTCAAAGAGGACAGTATTATTAAAGTGACAAACAAAATTAAGAGTTACTTCTCATATTCAGGTTCTAAAGTTCTAAGAATACCTACGCAAAGATTATCAAAATAATATAAAATTTGCATTACAAAAGTACTTGAAATGTTATACAAATTTTATGTATTTATTGCTATAATTTCTCTTTAATTGTTTCTCTGTCGATATTGCTTATATGGAGTTGGCATGAAAACGGAAACGGAAATGGAAAATATATAACATCTATTATTAATAAGACTATTAAATAAAATAATAAAATGTCGTAAGTCTACGTTCAAAGATTGCTCAAGCATAGATGTTTTTGTGTTTCGTTTGACGCTTTCTTATTTCTGATCGAAATATAAAGTCTTGTAGGTGTCATGTCGGATTCATGTTATATCTTTACAGAAACTTGTTAAATATACACTGGCTTATATTTTATCTTAAATATAATTTTGGAATATATTGTTTGTTTGTCTTATTAGATGAATATTTTATGCGGACTCCACACTTTGAATGACTTAAAATTAGTCTTAAAGTAAGGCAAATTCAAGACCAAATTTGTGCGATTATCTTGTTGTGGTTGGGGGCTCATAAGCGTCCGGGGCAACCCCATGGTTATTATGGTCTGATTTGGCAGACCTGCCGTCGAGGCTTTGTTGTTGAATGCGCAAGCGATCCTGTAACGTTGGGTTTTAGTGGATAATACTGGCTTTGCCGGTGAGTCCCACATAACCACCTGCACGTATACAGTATAGTATGCTAAATGCATTTTCCAACGTTAAAAAGGGTTGATTCAGGTGGTTATACCCACATCAAAATATACGTAAATGGTATAGTCATGTTATTATTTTTGTTAACACATAAGTTGTTGGTAGTTTAAGAACTTCTTAGAATAAGTAAATAATATTCCATATTCAATTATAAAACTTATTAAAATTATAAAAATGTTTAAAGTTATAAAATATTGTTAGGTACTTGGTTGGTGGTTTTTTATTTTCTTAATTGTGGGTAGGCTGTCTGTAACAACTATACCTTCGAGACATCTAACACCTCAGTCTCTCCTGTGACCATGGATGCTGTAAAGCATTCGAAACGTCGGGAACCAAAAATCAAAATAAATCCGCGATTTAATCCGAAAAGATAGTTTTATTTAAAACTTCTTAGAACAATTAAATCAACCTATATGCCAAAACACATAAGAAGCCTTTCTTTTGTTTTGACAATTACATACAAAGCAAGCAAAAATAAGGTCGATATGGTAATTAAATTTATGTTACAGGCTTTACCCTGCTACGAATTTTCTGTCCCTAACTGTCCCTAATGGCTGTGTATTTTGTAATTAAACAAAGTGGTGCGCAATATCGTATGATTTACGAGAACGTATTGTAATCATTTTGAAAGTAAGGTGTGGAACTTGGTATTATATGAAAAAGATAATATTTTTATAGCATTAAATTTCATGTGAGTACTTTGTTGTAATAGTTTATCCAACTTTATTTACTAATCGGAGGTAGCGAATTCTATTCCTGTGCAATGTATATTTTATATTGCATATATTGAGTTAGATATAAAACTACTAACCTAACAGTAACCTATGCATTAATAAAAATTTTAATTTTTATGCTAATATTATTTCCGGCTTCATGTTTTGTTTTATTATACTCTGTCTACATTATTCCTTAGTCTGAGTTTGATACATAAATATATACATAATACATTTCTGTACAAAGCGCCGTTAAAGGGCTAATTGCGAGATTCCTTTGTTAGACCCTTGAAATCCCGTCCATTACAGCGCAAATTAAACATTTAAATTAAAATGCGACAGAGGACGTTTTAAAATTTGCACTCACCCTCTGGAAACGAGTCTATATAAATGAAATTAAAAAAAATATTCTCTCGCCAAATGTTTGGATAGGACGTGATTTTTAGCTTCTGTACTTGAGTTCTGAAAATCTGCTAGTAGGTGTATCTTTAGATAATAGAAAGTGTAATGGCTTATATATATATATATATATATATATATATATATATATATATATATGTGATTTTTTGTAAATAAGCAACCCTTAGAAATTTTTAGCACCATTCATTGTATAAATTGGGTCAAAAATTAGTCTATTTCCCTTTCCAAGCTTAAAATCATCACTAAGCAAGACCAAGTGGATTTCTTGCACAATCTGAGACAAACAGACAAACACACTTTTGTATATATATAATTTGCATTCTAAAATAGGTCGGAAGAACATCTGTCTTTCACCATTGAATAGAAAATACATTCGGCAATTACATTCGACATAAATATACATTTTTAATTACGCTTCGCTTTTGACGAAATAGCTATAATAAATAACCTGAATCCGCAATCATTTATTTTATTTGATACGTAATGGTCCATCTGCCGCAGCATCCCAACCGATGGCTGTTGGTTTTTGTATTTTTTATTCATTTCTGCTGAATCTCGCTATAAATTTCACTTGATTTATCTTATATTTATAATGTATTTAAATAATATATTGCTTTTGATTTTTCATGTTATTTGGTAACTGATAAAATACAGAATTCAATTTGTGACTGGCTTACTTTTCTTAGACATTGTACATATTACACATAAATTATTATACACTAGCAGATCTCGCGGGTACGTTTGTGCTAAAACTACAAAAAAATCTAAACAGGTAGGTTTCATACAAATTTTCATCCCTTATTTTATTTGAATTTCGAAAAATGCTAAAATATTTATTCATTTAATGGTAATGAAGAGCATTAATACCAAGTTTCAAGTAATACTGATCATAAATAAATTTTTGACTTGTATTATAAGGTGTTTTCCCGTGGGAATGAGATAATCTCCCGCGGTAAAAAGTAGCCTATGTCACTTTCCAGCCCTCCAACTATCTCCACACAAAAAATCACGCCAATCCGTCACTCCGTTTCGACGTGAAAGAAAGACAAATGAACAAACACACTTTCACATTTATAATATTAGTATGGATTACGTAGGTTTGGTCCAGTAGTTGTTACGTTTGACAATGTAGGTCATTTAGTTTACTGTCATTACTCTAACGCCCATAGTTTTATTAAATAAAATGTTTTTTTTTTTAATATTTTGGTACTAGTGTCTGTCCGCGACTTCGTTTGTGTTGTATGTACAAATGTACATTAAATATTTTTTTTAGAAAATCTTATTGAAAAAGTTATTATTATTGATACAGAGGTCGAATCTATAGTTTTTAGAATTTTGTCTGTCTGTTTGGGAACGCATCAAAAGAAAACCGCTGGGCAGATTTTTATGAAATGTAGTATGATGATAGCTTAGGTTTATCCGGGTCAACATATAGGATTTTTACTGCGGGAAAATATCTCATCTCTAAGTCAAAACCTATTTTGGGATAAACCCGAGCGAGAGCGAGTCGCTAGTTTTAAAATAAAAAAAAGTCAAAACTATTATCAAATTTGCACTAACCAACGGACAGTATTTTATTTTTACTTATATAGATATGAACGACCGCAATAATTATTTCATACTTAATAGACAAAATGAAAAACATCTTGGAATCTACGAACTTAATTTTCCATCTAGTTAAGTATACTTATTAAGTATAAAACACAATAACCTCTCACGTTCTGAGTTAAATTTGGACGGGTTTGGACACGTCTATTTA